ACCCACCTCAACAGCTAGCAGAGCACCGGTTTGGCGCCGTGGCACACTCATACTGCCTGAAACGCCCCTTCATCCTCAACGAACGAAAGTATATTTTGTGTTATATTCTGTGTTGTTTTCAGATGGAAAGAGAAGTGGGCTGAGAAACTCGCTTTAGAGGAGAAGAAGAAAAATCCTGAGTATTTCCAAAACCGAGGCAGGGAGAATAACGTGTATCTTGATGCTAAGGTGAGCAGTAGTGAACAAAACCTTACTTCAAATTTCCGTTTTATTTTTTATGATGCGATTGGCAGCACCCTTCGCTTCGCCTGACGAAGTAGAGCGAGGCCAGAGTATAGACAACCTGAATCGCCAAGGGATTTAGTCTATGGACCACTTGAAATGTGTCTCTTTGAACGCGTCAAGTTTCGGTCATTGCCTGCGCTCTTTCGTCTATATTTCATCATTTTGTCCCGTCCCTCACAAATTATAACTTTCACTCATGGTAGTTGCCTCTTGATTGACCCATGCCGTAGTCCCCTTCCCTTCAAAAAACCTATTCCGTGCCTTGCCTTGTACTATTCAGGTCTCCTCTAGCGCCCTCTGCCCTCTACCTTTCTCCGCTGCAGATTTCGCAGTTGTACTATGCACAATAGATTGAATACGTGTAAACAAGGAGGTTCAGACATAGTGGCTCTCCCCTAGATGTTCCAACCCCGAGCTGATGCCGCTTCATGCCTTGAGATATTCATTGAGAGGTGCGGCCGCGATCGGATCGCTCGAGCAACCGAATCGCGCAACCTCCACCGTCACTGGGTGGACCTTCGCAAAGGCAGAATTCAAATGGGCTGCAATACTACAATGCATGAAAGCACGTATCGTGCTCGCGCGATCTATGCGCGTACCGCGAAGTATGACCGCGCCTGGCAGACGTTCTCCCAAAAAATAATTTCAATTTCACCTTCTAATGATTCGCTTGTTTTCTTTGTTTCTTTCCTTCTTTAATTACACCTAGGACTGTGGTAATTTGAAGGAGGAAAACAGCAAATACAGTACGCAAACCCATAAAGAAGAAAGGCGAACAAACAATAAATGTAGACTTCTATCATGAAATATGAACATCAAGAGATCACACTTACAATCTTCGAAGAAAGGCGGTACGATCAACACTGGCACAAAGCTAGGTCAAAGATTTTGTGGGACTGTGTTTACACCTTGCAGTTAGGGATTGGATTTGCAAATCCGTAGAATTGGCGACGAAACCGAGCTGGTAATCGCTTGCCGCTGTCCGCTGACCAATCGCGTATTTTTCTCTAAGAACGCTAATCAGTAGATTCCTATCCTAGTCCTTTGTCGCCGACGTCGCGGAATCGCGAATTCCACATTTGCAAAGTGGATGCGGCCAAAATGAGGTTGCTGACTATATTCGGATTTTTTTTCTTTTTTCACCAAAAGATCATAAATATTCCAGATTGAGCGAACGCTTAACGACTACACGATTCCGAAACTTATGAAGACGCTTATCAACACTTACGAGGAATATCGCAAGTCTCACCCCAATGATGAAATTAGGCATGTTGTATTTCTTCAGAAAATGTCTCCCGTGACCGATGACATCTAGAAAAGCCCTACGGTGTTCTCCTTTTTTCAGGGTAGATGGATTCACTCCTCCTGACTATGTGAAGTACATCCTAGATGAATACAACGCCAGCAAAGATGTGGAGCGTAAAAACAGGGCAAGTGATGAGGCTTCCCCTTATCTGAGGCTTCAAATTTCCATATGTGATTATTTCAGCAGATGCAACGAATGGTTTCAACGAGCGCTTTGAGAACACCACAGTCAGGTCGAGTAAAGTTGTTGCAAAGACCAGTTAGTTCCTCGAAGATAGAACCACTGCGAAAGGTGAGTAACAATCATATAATTTGCCAAAAATGCGTGCTATTGCGCTAGTGTAATGGATTCGAACCAAGAAATTTTTCAGCGTCTCCGATATGATTCCACTCTCAGCACGATATGCATGAACACAACATCTGCATCCATCACTAGCGTCATTACACCAACCAAACGGCGGATGGTTTGTTCTAAGACACCATTTAACTGTGATTGTTTCAAGGAAGTGGATACTGTGCGTGTACAAGGTGGGTGCGTCGAGAGACGTTCTCTCGCCACTTGAAAGTAGTGGGAAATAGGTTGAGGCATGTGACTGCTTGGTGCTTTTGTTGTCTCCATCCGCACTTCGCTACGCCATACGGCGGTTGTCATCGCACCTCTGATTGTCTGCGCCCTCTCACAGAGGTGGTGCTCGGGGTTGGGTTGACGCGGGTCTTTTTCGAGGTGATTAAAGATGTAGAATCTG